TATATATATATATATATATATATATATATATATTGGTGTATAATATAATCTGTCCGCAAATAGCAGCTTAATCGAGTCCATATTTAGTTTTAGTTTAAAGGGCCAAAGCATTGAAAAAATTTTTATCAGTCTGACGGTATCCAATCACTGAGTATTCAGTCAGTCAATCGATTGGCAACAACAATTTTCATGATTGGACGCGACCATTCAATAAATTACGTATATACCTATATAAGTAAATGGAATATCACAAAGGCAGAATACTGTATAAAAAGGGCAAAGTGAATGCCACCAAAAATAAAAAAAAATAAAAAAATAAAAAAAAGCTTTTGAAGCTCGAAATTGTGTTGAAAAGCGTATCGTATTCTTTGGAAATAAAGTACGCACTGCGGCGAACATCACATATTTACGAGCTTTTACTTTACTCTTATCATATACTCATACTTGTATACATACTATCGTATCTCCACCATCTTATATTTTTCTTTTTCCTATTTTTAAATGGCCTTAAACTATATTTTACACGTTTTATATAATAAAAGATAAAATTTCAAATTTTAATCGCTTCCATACAGATTGAAAATCATTTAAATTTATACTTACTCTTTTTACTGTAAAATTATTAGCAGCTTAATTTAAGACAATCGCCATTGAGCTCGGTAAATATAAATATAAACTGAATCTTTTAAGGGATAACAAAGGATTAAAAGATCCATCGGCGTCATACTTAACGTTTAATGTTATATTCGTCTTAATTGCATGCCCATCAGTCTTTTAAATGAAAAAGATAAATGGGATTTGAAAAAAATTTTTTCTTTTCTTTTTTCATTCTTTACAACCAGTGGATCGATAGGGGGCTGCAAGACACAGACGTATAAATATGACTTAATGAGGCAAGATGATTTGATACCGCCTCATGTTTCAATGTAAATTTTTAGCCACGCAAAACTGGTGATTCCGTGGACGCACTGGGCGTGGCGCATTTAAATGGACAGTGATCGACGAGTTGCCTCCGGTCAGAAGAGAAAAGACTCGGAAAAAAAAAAAAATAAATTTCAAAACATTTCGACTATCGTTTATCGTTTGTGACTACACAGCAGCACTCGGGACATATATACATCTCTATTATATGTATATAATAGAATAAAAAAAAAAATAAACAGAATAAGGTAAAAGAGAAAGAGAAAGAGGGAGATGGAGTTATGGAGAATGGAAAATGCAGAATGCAGAACGCAACGGTTACGCAGTTGGCAGAGTTGGCAGCATCGCCGTCGCTGATATAGTATCCGACGAAACGGCACGTCCTGTAATTGTAAAGGCGATAATGACCCGTGCAGTTCCAGGAATACGTTTGTAACGATTCATCGTACAATGCCTCTATTTCGATTTTACCGATATACCTGTTCTCATTCCATATCAACTTGCCTATCTCTTCAATCTTTTCAATCGATTTTAGATCCATATATATATATGTATATATGTATATATTGCTGGGTGATTAATTACATCAAATAAATAAAGAGAGGAAACAATGATTTTTAATCCATATAGATGAAAAAAAAAAAATATTCCCGAAACAAATTATAATATGTATCTTTATATGTGATTAATCATTTTATTTTTTTAATGAGGCCGAATTAGTTTATTAATAAAAGTTTATTAAAGACGAGGGTACCTTTATACAATTATTCATTGTTATGAATATTTGTGTGTTTTATTGCCACTGATGGCGCCAGAAAGTTGTTTATATGTAAAAGTTTATTTTAATTGTTGAATACATAATTAACTACGTTTTTATTTTAGTGCTCTATAAAATAAATATTTAAATATGACCTACGTATACTTTTATTATGCGTCTTTATATATATTTTATAAATTATTTCATCTGTTAATTCATATTTAATACGTTTAACATATATAAATATTCATTTTATAAAAAGATTAACAAGTATATAAAGTACAAATGTCTGGTGGGGAATAAAAACTCAGAGTATATATATATATATAAATATACGAAAATTATAAAAAAGAATACCAGTTGGATTGGCAAACAGTCAAGTTATTTTAGTTAAAATTATTTTATTGTTTCATTCGATTTTATCATTAGGTTTATCTATACAATATAATAGTTATTTGTGTTCAGACAAGTTAATGACTTTTTTTTTTATTTT